TCTCAGAGAAGCTTCAGGATCCTCACTTGGTTCTTTATAAGGCTTTCTCTGAATACAGCATTAAAACATGGGCTTGGGTGGAACTTCTAAGCTTCATGGAAACAGCAAAGCATTAGGGGAATGGTATGTTTATTTGAGAGGCACTGTCTACACTGCAGGGCCTGAAACTGTATACAGTATATGATGGTTGTGGATACAGACTATCATTTTTATTGACATAGTGATCTCTTGAAATTATGAAGCATAGTGATCTCTTGAAATTATGAACCAGTACTGAAATTATGTGGCTGGGATTATTATGGACAAAGAGATCAGTTTATAGAATGAGGCGAAATGATGCAGAATATGTTCAGTTTGTCATGACATGTATCAAAATTGGGAAAAAGGTTTCTACAGGACTGCTTTATGTAAGAGAGTAACTGCGAATAATTTACTATTTCCAGTACTTCGGTGGAATAAATAAACATCAGATGAGAGTTTCTCAGTTTTTTATTCATATTTTGTTTTGTGGAAGTACAAGAATGAATTTGCTTTGATATTACACATAGATTATATATTTATAATTTTAAAATGTTACAGTTTTCATCTATGTATTTCTGTTTCTCATACATATTGGGTACAGTAAGGTAGATAAAGTTTACTGGGGGATTGTCTTCTGTTTTTCCCCTTTCCCTGTACATTTTGGGGCTGCTTTCCTCAGTATGGTGTCCACTAGATGTTTGAGCTGTAATTGCTGTCACCCTAAGCTATCAGAGCAAATAATCAGGGATGATAGGAGAGGCAGTACAAAGCTTGAAGTGTACTACATTCAGGCAGGCTGATTAAGGCATAGTGGTTAATCATGGTTAATGAAGGACTATCTTAAAAAGAAGCGAGTCTCCTCTTCCTCTCTCATTTACAGATGATTCCATTTTCATAGAGAACATATCAGACTAAGAACTGGATTTTTAGGATGTGCTCCATTTTAATAGTTAAATCAGGTTTCAGAATAGGGTTTTCCTCTGCTCTGGTACCTGGTTTCCCTGTCCCCGGGCAATATATTGATACCTTATGAATTAGTCCAGTGATAAATGTTTCCAGTTCAGGCCAGGTTATTTGTCTGTGGTTTGTTTTTAGTTTGTATCTCCATCTGTCAGCCTGTCTGTTCTCCATCTAGCCTGCCTGCTTGCCCCTCTACATACTGCTTACCTTCATCTTCAGTCTAATCCCATTCAATCAGTTCTCTTAGTACAGAGTTTACCTGTGATCTCTTGTGCCCTTGGACTTGCCCTATGATTCTATATCAGTCCTGTTTTGCCTTTGGTTCCAGTTCTATTATGTTAGCTATGCTGACAGACTTGTTGGCATATATTTACATATGTCTTGCAAAGTGGTGGTCCCCTGTTTTTCCATACAGATCAAAGTGCAGGTAAGCAGCAGAAAAGCTAATGGCTGCAAACAATGTGGAGCAAGCCACTCAGGAAAAAGGAAGCTTACCATCTTTTTAACTTATCTAGAAGTTCACAATATGTGTCCTGCAATAAACAAGCTTCTGCCTGTTTTGCTTGCCTGTTGCCAAATGCCTGAAGGGAGCCTAAAAGTTCAGAATAAGCACATAGTACAGCAACAGCAATCCTGAGATAACATAATGTCAGAATGCAGGTAGGAGAAATCATGTGGTCATTTAAGGGAAGAAAACACCATGTGATTCTGTGTAATACAACACCATGGCTTATCACTGTAAACAGATTATACCCATGTCACTTATCTCTCTGCACTGAGAGCTGTGTCACTCCATGCACTGAAGATTCTACATTTTGGCTTCCTTGAGATTTGTTCCTTCTAAATTACACTTCTGTTTTGTAAGGAAGCAGAAGAAACCTGGAGTATCATGCTCTTCCAGTAAAATATTTGCCTAAAAAGCAGATGTAGGTAGAATTTTGCTGTTTTTAGTATTTTGATATTCAGTTGGGTTTGTAAATTATTAGTTTGGTTTTAAAAATGGCAGTAGAAATGCCTGTAAGAAAGTCTGTTTTTGTTATATACTGAATTTTCAAACTTTTTTCTTGTAGTAAGGAATACTCGTAAGGGCCTAGTCCTGTGCATACTTTTTTATTTACTTATTTATTTAATTTTATTTTATTTAACTTATATGCCTCCCACACTATCCAAAGGTCTCTGGGGGGGGGGCTACAACAATTAAAATGCAGTAAAAAGATAAAACAATTAAAATGCAATTAAAATATATACTCTAAAAATTGCCATCATGACCCACAGTTGATATTATTTCAATTAAAAGCCTTCTGGAACAGGAAGTTTTGACCTGGCGCCAAAATGCAATCAAGCATGCAAGACCCATTGGAAATGCACAGAAAACAAATGGAGCAGGTCGGAAATCACAGAGAATAAAGAGGGCAGGTCAGAAATGCAAAGAAAACAAGGGAAAAAGCAAGAGGAGCATGCAGGACTATCAGAAATGGGGGGAAAACCCCCCAAAAAGCAACCAAACCCCCAAGACCCATCATAAATGGGGGAGCCAAAAAACAAGCAACCCCCAAGACCCATCGGAAATGGGGAAAAACCCCCAAAAAGCAACAAAAAACCCCAAGACCCATCGGAAATGGGGGGGAAATAACAACCAACCAACAGACAAACCCCCTAAGACCCATCACAGCAAAAAAATATAACCCCCCTAGCCCAAAACCACATTGCAAAAACGCCCAGAACAGTTTTTAAAAAGCAGGAAACAGCACCTTACCTTACAAGGCAGCCCGAAGCCTCCCTGCAAACACACACACACCTTCTCAGAAGCAGAAGGAGGAAGTCCCAAGCCTCTGACGATGATGCACGCTCTCTAACTTCTGGGGTGAAAGAGCTACAAAGTAGCAGCCTCATCACCACCTACAGTTCACAATTTGAATTTCCCGCCTTTTTTCCCTGCCTTTTTCTGTTTGTAAATGGAAGCTCCAGTCGCAAGTAGAAGCAAAATTTTGTGGCTGGAACTGGTTGTAACTCAAAATGGTTGCAAGTAGGGGTGTTCGTAAGTCGAGGCACCACTGTATTGGCTATCTGTGTTACAGTTTTGTCATGTGTGAATGAATGTCTTTAAAATTTTACTTCATAGACATTTAGGCTGGTTGTTATTTTATGTTTTTAATATTTTTATGAATCTCTTGCAATAAGATAGTTGTCCTTACTGATACTCCAAGAAACCACTGCTTTTTAAATTTATTTCTTTACGTCCTTGAGCTTTAATGAGTACACTGAAACAATTTTTAGGAATAATTGTTGGCAATATACAGTAGGTGACTATCACTGGGCTTTTCAAATGTAGAAAATTAAAACTAACTTTCTGAAAACTAAATTTTGTTAGAGCTGAAAAAATGCTGAAGACAAATTTGTTCTTAACCTTTATGGGTATGGGGCATGGACTTAAAGAACATGAACATCTTCAAAAGTCAAAGTTGCCTTGCTGAGTTACCATGTTAAGATTTATTCAGCACTACTGTGGTTGAAAATAAAATACTAGATTCTTCAGTTAGAAACACTATGGGAGCCATAATTTCCATTTTAAAGGATAAATCTGCATTTACAGCTACCTAACATGTACATTATGCCATATGCATTGCAGTACAACTGGAGCTTACTTTCTGTTTGTTTTTCTGTGAATTAATTTCCTTGAACACAGTTAAAAGGTAAAGGTAAAGGTTCCCCTTGACAATTTTTGTCCAGTCGTGTTCGACTCTAGGGGGCGGTGCTCATCCCTGTTTCCAAGCCATAGAGCCAGCGTTTGTCCGAAGACAATCTTCCGTGGTCACATGGCCAGTGCGACTTAGACACGGAACACTGTTACCTTCCCACCGAAGTGGTCCCTATTTATCTACTTGCATTTGCATGCTTTCGAACCGCTAGGTTGGCGGGAGCTGGGACAAGCGATGGGAGCTCACTCCGTCGCGTGGATTCAATCTTACGACTGCTTGGTCTTCTGACCCTGCAGCACAGATTTCTGTGGTTTAGCCCGCAGCGCCACCACGTTCCTGAACACAGTTACTTTTACAAAAATTAATTCTGGTGCCTCAGAATGTTTTTTAAATAACTGAATAGCAAAACTGTGCTCTTGACATTATATAAACATCATAATTTTATTCTATAAACTGGAATTCAAAGTCCTCTTGCAAAAATCCTGACAGATTACAATTATTGAAGAAATTATTCAAATTAGTTTTCCTTTGACATAGAAAATGTTCAGTGTAATCTGATGGCCAAAATGGGTGACAGAGTCGTAGATGCAGCTTCAGGTTCTGTGAGTACAGATAATAGTTTTCTATTTCTCAGAGTGACTTTTTTTGTATACTTATTGATCCTTGCCTTAATATTGCCTGTTAATATTGTAAGATGCCTCCTCATTCATTGTTTATAGTTTAGAATATTGTATTTTTATGATGTTAAGCACCATTGTACACTCATTGTTTTCAACTTTGAATATTGTCTTTCATTATTTGTAAGCCACATTGGATCCTTTTCAAGGAGAAAGGCTGGGTAAAAATATTTTTAATATATATTTTACCCAGCCTTTCTCCTTGCAAATGGATCCAAGGCGGCTTACAAGCTGAAAACAATGAGTGTACAATGATGCTTAATATCATAAAATACAATATTTTAAACTATAAACAATAAGGAGGCATCTTACAACATTAACAGGCAATATTAAGCTTCAGGTTCTGTGAGTACAGATAATAGTTTTCCATTTCTCAGAGTGACTTTTTTTGTATACTTATTGATCCTTGCCTTAATATTGCCTGTTAGTGTTGTAAGATGCCTCCTTATTCATTGTTTATAGTTTAAAATAATGTATTTTTATGATGTTAAGCATCATTGTACACTCATTGTTTGAATATTGTCTTTCATTGTTTGTAAGCCACCTTGGATCCTTTTCAAGGAGAAAGGCTGGGTAAAAATATTTTGAATGAATTAATGAATTAATAAATAATAAATAAGCTTCAGTCAACGTGTCTTTGCAGCCTTGAATTATGAACTACGTGGGACAACTTGCAGGACTTCTGGTTACTGTGAAGGAACTCTACAAAGGCATTAATCAGGCAACACTTTCAGGATGCATTGATGTAATTGTAGTTCGGCAGCAAGATGGTTCATACATGTGCTCACCGTTCCATGTCCGGTTTGGGAAGCTTGGTGTCTTACGTTCCAAAGAGAAAGTGGTGAGTACTATTTGATGATGCAACTATGGGAGTAAACATTGTTCAGTCAGTGGCTGTATCCCTGATGGCATTGGTACCTTTGGAATTGCTCCTTTTGGAGCTTCTCCAGCCTGCTCTTCTCCTAAGGACCTGTGCTCACTCCTTCTCTGCCTTGCTCACACAAACAAGTACAAACTCAAGATAGCTAAGTGTGCCATTTACTTCAGTTAATCTCTTCCTTCTCTTAAATTAATCTAATTGAGTCCATTGTAATACACAAATTCTAGCATTCCAGTTCTAATATTGTGAAAGAAGATAAGTGCTTTCTAACCACTTTTTATAGTATGTATAATTTTTAAAGATTTTATTATATTCCTTCTTTATTGCATGTGTTCTGAACTTAGATTTCCAGATACAGTGGTGCCTCGCAAGTCGATGTTAATTTCTTTCGTGAAAATTGTTTTGCGAAAACATCGTCTTGCGAAATGCGTTTTCCCCATTGGAATACATTGAAATCTATTTAATGCATTCTAATAGGGAAAATAGTCATTGTCTTGCGAAAATCGCCCGTAGAGAAACCGTTTTGCGAAGCGCGGATCAGTTGTCTAAATTGCTTTCTTGCAAAAAACCGTCCAGAAAAAAACCGTCTTGCGAAGCATGGTCCAAAACATTGTCTGGCGAAAATCGCCCATAGCGAAAACCGTTTTGCGAAGCGCTATCGTGATCGCAAAAACTCATCGTCTTGCGAATAAACTGTTTTGCGAGGTAAATTGTCTAGCAAGACACTAGTACTTCCTTCCCCTTGTAGGTGGGGTTGACTCTTCCCCAGTCTTTTTAGTTGTGCCTTTTTGAATCCCTTCGCATTCTCTAGGATCCTTTTTTTACAATGGGGAGACAAAAACTTCGTACACCACTCCCATGTGTAAACATGGTATTGTTTATTTGTGCAAGGTTATAGCAATACTGCAGCTTTGTATTCATTTTTTATAAAATAAATTTAAATTTCATTCCTGGTGCATAATTTGCCTTTTCCACATAGGTCATAGGACCATATACCGTGACTCCAATATCTTGTTCTGAGTTAGTCACTGTGAGTTCTGACCTTATAACACAGCCATCCTCAATGGGCCCTTGGCATATTTGAAAAGGGCCACAGACTGGAAACAATTATTCACACACCACCTTATAAAGTTTGTTGTGCAACTTATGTAACCCTGATTCTGCCTATATTTCATATTGTGTTTATGGCTGTGGCCAAGAGAAGATTGAGAATGACTGTGGATATGCGAATTGGCTTTGTTTGTTTTTTAAATAATTTTTGTTCTTGTACTGAACCTCTTTTGTTATTTCTATTGCCCATTTATCCAGATAGGGGAAATTGTATTGGAGTTTTCTTTGTTGGGTTTCACAACTTGTAATGATGTGGTAATATTTATAAATTTGTCAACTTCAGTGTCCCAGTACAGGTTCTTTGGGATGGTGGTAGAGAACCAACTTTTTATTTCATTTCATTGTGAGACTAGAACATTTATTTTTGCTCCCTGGTTCTTGTTTTTTTTTTTTCTCCCAGTAACTTTTTCCTAACTGTTTTTTTCTCCTTATCTTTTATCAGCTATATTTAAGTAGAAGATTTGAGTGAAGGACTAAGGAAGTCCAGTAAGTGGGTTAGAAGAGTGAAATCTCAGGGTCTGTGGAAATCATACGGGTTTTTTGGGAATCTCCTTGTGATTATATGAAACCAGCTCAAATATGCCAGGACAGTACTAAACATATGTGTTAAGCAGCCCATGTCATGCTCTGAATATACAAGTTCAGCAAGTACATGGATCTCTCTGGTTACATTTAGAAACCAAAGTAAATTAAACTATAAAATATATGAGTATCTTACTTTTACATGCAGTCTCAACAACAACAAAAGCATTTCAAATTCTACTTAGAATATGGCAAGGAATGTTACCGGCTGTCTTTTGCTGAAAAAGGAGTCCCACCTGGCTGACAAAGTACTAAACAAAAAAAGCATTTCCTTAGATAATTTTTGGCTCTCTTGACTGGTTCAAATGGAGTGTTGTAAAGCCTGTCATTTTCATTCCTCTTCACCTAGATAGGAAAAATACTCCCATTTCTTTTTCTTATCTTTCTAAAGCCTCACTGTTTTTTGCTGAATCACGGTAAGCTTCTTCAATTATATTTTGTTTTATTAACTAGGCAGCCTATGTGAAATGGAGTTACATTTGTCTGAATGTCCTTGGGATTATTTTGACAACACAGTGGTGGAGAGAGGAGAGACCTGTTGTGGACTAGAATATGGGATAGAGAAATAAAAGCAAATGAATCTGACTCTCTTTCAGTCCAGTTCAAAGAATTTGGACAAATGAGTATATATTGTGTTTATAGGTGAAGTAGTTTTTGCATGAGTTTTTCATTTAACTGCTAAAAGGATATTGAATTTTCCACAGATTGATATTGAAATTAACGGAGAAGCAGTTGATCTTCATATGAAGCTGGGTGATAACGGAGAAGCTTTTTTTGTGCAGGAAGCCGAAGAAAAATTTGTAAGTAGCATAATGTAAAACTTAGAGTTTGTATTAGTTCTGACACTTAGCCAGATATGTTTTGATAGCAGTAAAGAAATTAGCCAAAATCCTAATAGTTACACAGACCACATAATGCAGTTAATGTAAATCACACTGGAGAGCTGTCACAAGTTAACAAGTCAGTGTAGTCATTTCTTCTTGTGTCATCTCAACATGCAATTAGAGTTGTGCATGGAGGTAGAGTCCAAGATAGAGGGCATCAGGTGCTCAGCACATAGTAATCCCACAAGAAAAAACTGTAGCATTAAACATTCCTTGCAGGGTTCCATGCAGAATTCAAGATTCTCATTCTGATTTTTTGTCCGCTGACAGCACATTGGATGAAAAATTTCTCAGGCCATTTGACAGACAAAAGACGAAAGGGCACTAAAAAGTTATACAAAGCAAAGAACACAAAAAATTAATATTTCATAAACACAAATCATTTGCATTTAAGAGGCTCTTTTTGGCAGTCACCAAAAGAACGTGAATTAAATGAAAGAGAGATTTCTCTTTCAGCATTTTGTCACAGATTTTTGCTGACTGTGTTTCCCCATCAAAAATGTATTAAAATCCTGGCCATTGTGTATTAGGATATAAGCTTTTTTTTTATTTGGATATTTGCATTTAATAATCTCTGATTTTGCTTTAACTCAACAATGATCTAGGAGTTTATATTATATCTCTTATATAATTTAAAAAGAAACAGATAAGGAAAAAAAGTGGGAAATTTCTTGGAAAAAGCATAAACACCCTTTCTTTTCAGGTTTCCTAACTCTTTTCTACTAGTATAAAAGAATTTTCCTTCTCCCCTATATTTCTTTCAAGCTACCAATTTTTTCTACTATCTTCTTTCCCATTTTCTGTTCCTTCTTGTCTGTCATTCCCTCTTTCTCTCTGTTCATAGTTTTACTTCCCATCTTGCTTCTTAGAAACGCCTTTGACAGGGCACTGCCTGGATATGGGAAGGGGGCTTCACCAGCGGCTAGCATTATGGGGAAGAGCTTGAAATATGTACTAATAAACTTGGCAAAATCTCATTAGGGATCATAAGGCTTTTTCCTTGTACAGTATTTTTAATCTATAGAATTGCTGAGCCTTTTCTGTTTTGGCTCCATAATTAGTGGCATCTGTTTTTTATAACTTGAGTACACATTAGTAGACTAGCAGAGAGTTAGATCCTGAAGTATCAAAAGCAAGAATTATCTTTCTGTTGTTTGAATTGTTTGAAATATATATTTTTATAGTGCCCTTTATAAAAATTGATTCCAGGTTATTTAGAAGGTTAAAAATAAAATAAAAGGGCATACACATGGAACTGCATGTAAAAATGGGAGCAGCAGGCAGTAGGGCAGTCAGAACCTGCAATATTATTTTTGAAAAGTCAATTGTTATGTTAGTCATTACTGTTCTTGACTGAGGGAATTAGCTCACTGCTACTGGGGGGAAAGGTAGTGTGGTGACCTGTTATAATGCCTTTTAAAGTATCACTCCTGCTGTCCTTCAGATAGTTGTGATGTGGTTTATTCTGTTTTAAACTGTTGGCCAAGAGTCTGCCACCTCATATAGAGAAGCACAGAAACTGTGTGCAGCTACTTCTAAGTTTCAATATCAAAATACTGTACAGATTACTGGATTTTACTTGCAAATGCAATCCTCTGGGCCCTAGAAGAGCTTTGGCTGACCCATGTCTTGAGCAAATTGATGTGGATTCTGTATCTCAGTCTTCACTGATCTGTATGTTGCATCATTCTTGTTCGTTACTTTAAAAGACAGAATAGAACCACAGTTGTAACCACCACACACAGAAATATAATCAGAATGAGAAATATAGCCTGGGTAATGTTGAAGTCTGTTCCACTTCAAAGTAATATTATTATCATTCATTGCTCAGAAGACTTACAAGTGTTTGCTATTATTCATTTAGCTGCTGTTAATAGATGTGTGATCAGTTCCAATATCTGAGAGTGAACATGGGAATTGTACAGCAAGAATTGAGCACAAATCTAACAACAGTGACTAATAACTGCAAAGAATTGGAAAATAAAGTGTGATCTCTGATTAAATGAATGGTATACAGAAATAGGGAATATAGCTTTTAATGATACATTAACATATAATATTAAAATAAAAAAAAGGAATAGCAAATAAGATGTTTAGAGATATATGGGGGATATTTTATTGATTTTGTATTAACAAAGCGTAAGGCCTGTGTACCTTTGCAAGAGTCAGTGTATTTCTAGAAAAGGACTGGGGCTCCATAAGAGGAAGGAAATAGAGTATCTGCACTGGTTCTGGGACAAGCACATTAAGTGTAACTATATGTAGATTTTCTTTAGGGTTTTTTGTTTTGTATGTTAAAATTGAATTAAAAATGAAGAATAATAATTATTTTTCTTCATTTTCTGGGCAGAAAAAGGAACTCAGTTCATCTGGAATTAGGAATGTTCATGCATTATAATGATTACATACATCATGCATTGTGTTTATTAATGTATGTATGACTCATAACTAACTTAACTTTTTAGGAAAAAGTTCCTGCACATTTGGCAACATCACCAATTCCTACAGATACCCACTTCTTCAAAGAAACTGATGATGATTTGCTAAAGTTAAGTGAAAATGAAAGAATGTGTCCAAGCTCAGAAATCCCACAAATTCTGGAAACAGAACCTGTTTTTTCCTCTGGGTCAGTGAAGAAGAAGAAGCGGAGGAAAAGAAAATGCAAACAAGATACAAAGAAAGATGATCACATCTCTTCTCCTGGAAGTGAAGAAGTCTTTGAAATGGAAATGAGTTCTGATGATGAGAGAAATATTCAGCCTGTTAGGTATAATTTTTAGGTACCCTTTTTGGGGGGGAGGAAATTGTCACATTATGGCAAGCTACGATGTTCCCGCTAATATTTATCCCTGCTCTGCAAGAGCCTCTCGCTCATCTGCGCACAGGGGCAAGGTTTCATCCAAAACCTGGAAGTAAACATGCATTGACTCCCAGCTGCTGTTATGTAGTGTTGATGGAGCTCTGCATGCCCCCACATGTGCGCATACCGTAGAGGGAACATTGCTCATAAGTGATAATATGCGTACAGTGTGAAATCCTGGAAAAAAATTGTCCTCAACTCTTTGAAAAACTGTTTAAATGTTTAACTGTCTAATTCCTAATGGAAATTAGAATTTAAAGAAAGTAAATGCATATCTATTCTAGTTGGTTGCAAAAATGGATGATTAAATGGATGATGATATAGGATGTAGTATACATAATGTGTTAATATTTTATCACTATAGAGAGACTGATACCATAATTATTCACTTGTGATTTCCTCTATTACAGCCAAAAAAAGAAAATTGAAATACTATTAATTCATTAGCAGTTAGTGAACATTATGGAATTATGGAATTTTGTGGAGGATCTCCTTTGGAAACCCTTAAATCTCAAATTTCCACATGTGTTTTGCACATATTATAGCAGTTGAAGACTCCTATGTTTGTATAGTAATGAAATGTGTTCATAATTTTTTCATGGATATTTTTCATGTTGTTAGAGCACACATACTGAAAAAAGTCAGTATATTAAAAACAAAGATATCGTTCTGCAGACAGTATATCAAAGAAACAAACGAAAGCTTTGGGCAGAAAGATTTTCATTGAATACCCCCCTCTGCAGGCAACTTCATCTGATGCTGAAGTGCTAAAGCAGAGGCCAGCATTTAACTCACCCCCTTGCACACACAATAGCTGAGGTAAGGGATGGAATGTTCTGAGAAAGCTGCTGTTACTGTTCAGAAGTAAGGATGTGCCAGAGGTGTGTGTGTGGAGGGGGAGTAATTTTCTTATTCCTCAGCTTACATTATTAGCCTTCATTGGTTGAAGATACAACTCCTGTTGAAAATTTTATTTTATTTATTTATAAATAAATTTATAAATGTGGTGCTACCATGTGGGCGAGAGGTATCTTTATCAGTTCCCTTAATTTACATTCTTCCCTTTAGTGCCATCAGTTACTGTATGTCATTTGATTTTTTTTTTGGAAAGTCCATTTTAAACACGCTGTTCCTACTTTCACAGAAGCGCCCCAGATTCCCCACTGAAGGATGAGGAGTATAAGGAATCATTGATTTATCACTCAAATGATCATTACCCCTTATCAGATGGAGACTGGTCACCTTTGGAGAAGTAAGTAACTTTCATCAGTCACATTTTAACAATTTGTAATATTCCAGACTAGTGAATTTCTAATATAAGCATTACAGAAAGTAGAACATTTGGCTGTTTACAGATGGGCTTGTGCAGCTTGCCATGGTTCTGAATATTCATTCATTCATTCATTCATTCATTCATTCTTTCTTTCTTTCTTTCTTTCTTTCTTTCTTTCTTTCATTCATTCATTCATTCATTCATTCATTCATTCATTCATTCATTCATTCATTCATTCATTCATTTCATGCTCTCAAGAAAATAACTAAACTTTCTTTGCTCCAGCATCTGAAATTAGAAGCTTTTCACAAAGTGTGGCAAACTCTTTTGTGGAATTTGTCTTCTGCTGCTTAAAATTATTGGAACACCATAGCAAATTATTGAGCAAGACAAGTGTCACCCTGCCAAGGCACACAACCTACCATGCACCCAAAGTTAAACAAGAAGAGGAAAACAGTAGCTTCCTGGTGTTCCCACTACTGGTTAGGATTCAGCATAGAGGAAGAGAGCAACCAAAAGAGCATTGATAGCAGTGCCAAGGAGATGGCCCTTTCCAGGTATCTTGCTCATAGGCCATGTAAAATCTGGGTTTGGCCTATATGGGTGGATAAAATGATGATGAAAAATAAGTTGATATCTACAATCTGTAAAAGAATTCAGAGAAGAGCAACAAAGATGATAAGGCGACTGGAGGCTAAATCCTATGAAGAACAACTAAAAGAACTAGGTATGTTTAGCTTAACGAAGAGAAGACTGAGAGGAGACATGATAGCAGTCTTCCAATATCTGAAGAGTTGCCACAGGGAAGAGGGCATCAATTTATTCTCCATTGCACCTGAGAGTAGGACAAGAACCAGTGGGTGGAAACTTGTCACAGGGAGATCCAACCTGGAAATAAGGAGGAATTTCCTTACGGTGAGAACCATTAAGCAGTGGAACAGCTTGCTTCCCAATGTTGTGGGCGCTCCATTGCTGGAGGTTTTCAAGAAAAGATTGGACAGCCATCTGTCCAGGATGGTGTGAGGTTTCCTGCCTTGGTCAGGGGGTTGGACTAGAAGACCTCCAGGACCCCTTCCAGCCCTACAATAATTCTATGATGATCACATTGGACAAGTCAATGAACCTCCTTGTGTATGTCTTTAATAAACATGGTCAGTTCTAGAAATAAGGAGGTTTGCTAGTGTTATAGATACCATCCTGTTTTGGACATCTCAGATAATATACATGCCTTAGTACTAATAATTCAGATTTGATCCTGCCAGCAGTCAAATATGTGTTTAACATCTGGTTTGGGTTGAGAGTCCTCTGCTGTTTGTATTTAAACCTGCAGAATATGAGTTTGTTTGATTATCTATCCATCTATCCATCTATCCATCTATCCATTTATTTATTTATTTATTTATTTATTTATACATGCATGCGTGCATACATACATGCGTGCGTGCGTGCGTACATACATACATACATACATACATACATACATACATACATACATACATACATACATACATACATACATACATACATACATACATACTCCGTACCATCTGGCAACCAGGCCACTCTGGGCAGCTAAAACTAGATATACAGCACGATATCAAAACACAATAAAAATAATAATTACATACACTCAACAAATAAAAGAGAGAACTTGCAACTGTAACCATTTCAGATTTGATATATATCTCATGAGGACAGTAATGTTGGAAACATTATACAGAAATCTGTTTAAATTTTATAGGCCTGCTGTAATTTTTTGTTTTAATTTCCAGTCTCAAAGTCTGAAACTCTAGCCTGGCTTTCTGCCTTTCCTTTAAATAAATGAATCTCTCTAAATGGGGAAAAAAACCTCCCCTTGAAAGTAGCTGCACATCATATGTCCTAAAACACAACTTTTTTTAAATTTTAACAGCACCTTTAGCAAGACAACGTGTCCTAAAAGTGATTCGGAACTGGAAGTTAAGCCTGCAGACAGCTTGCTTAGAGTAGAGTCTCACATGGAATGGACGTGGGGAGGCTTTCCAGAATCTACCAAGGTAACATTATTTCCCCATTGGTAAATTTAAAGAAAATCCTCTTAAATGCTGACAGGTAACACTGTTATAAACATAAATACAGCTTAGAAAGAATGTGAAGATAGCTCCCCCTTCTGGTTCATTTGAAGTTCTTTTTAAAAAAACAGTTTGTATTTTCTGGAAGTAAAATAATTGTTGTATGCCTTACATTTGCGTGGGTATGAAAGAGCCTTGTGGTGACTCCTGTTGCAAAGTTCTGTATCTTTGAAGTCTAATGGACAATTAGGCATGTGTCAGTGATAGATAGCTGTTGCTCTTTGTAAACAAACAAACATGATAAACCTATAAACATCTGTCAGTGTTGCTGCTTTAAATGGCACTTTTCTGTGTTAATGGCACAGGCTAGTAAAAACTACCTGCACTTGGAAGTTTTTGTAACTAATGGGCAAGTCTGAATTAATCTGCAAGTAGCTTGCACATTTATTCTGTTTTTTCATTAGTTTAATTTTGCACTGACATTGTTATAATTTTTAAATACTTAAAACAAGTTGTACTAGTTGCCACTGATATGGCTTGCATTGTTGCACTGCACCGATTAAGCTTGCATTGTTCTCAGCTTCCAAAATATATAACAACAACTTCAGACTATGAAGTAAACAGAAGCCTTCCCCTTTCCACTTAATGTTAGGGATATATCTTCAAACCTTGCCAGTTTCTTTCAGATATTTTGTGCAATTTATTCTCACCACTGTTAAATACAGAAATTTAGCTTATCTGACCAGCTCAACTCTTCATGTAATTCTACTGCAGAATATAGAAGCAATTTTTGGGAAAAAAAACACCATTCTTTTTCAGATAAGCAAGAAGGAAAAATCAGAGCATCCTAGAACAGCCACAATAACTCCATCAGAAAAGACTCATTTTAGGGTCATATCCAGCACAGATGCAGTGGAAGATGATGTTTTGGTGAATGATTCTGTCTGTACAGTACTAAAACCTGAACCAAGGAGTCATCCTCTACTAAAGGAACTAGATATTAAAGAGAAACTTACTACTTCAGCAACAGAACCTGTTATAGAAGTGCTTCAGAGTTCATCTTCATCATACTCTGATGTTCTTCCCAGTCCATTGGTGGGTTCTACATCAGAAGTTAAGCCACCAGCAAAACTGGATTCTCCATCAAAGAGAAAAGGTACATACTTTTTATTGATTATCTGCTATCAAACTTCATTTTTGCTTGCTTCCAAATTCTTAGTCATTTTTGAGAGAGATTCTTGTATCTTATATTCTTACTTTACCTTTCTCCTAAAAAAGGGCCCAAGGCAGCTTACATCATTAAAAAATATTTGAAAGCTGAAAACAAAAGAATGAAATAAACATATTTAAAATGTTAGATAAAAGCATTTCTAAAACAGATTTAAAAGTAGCAAAAAATACAAACCATCCCATTAAAAAATAAACTTCTTAGATAGCCAGTCATTAAGAGAAAAGCCTGTCTGAAAAGGAAGGTGTTCACCTGCTGGCAAAAGGACAACAAAGATAGGGCCAGCCTGCCATCCCCTGGGAAGGAGTTCCAGAGTGTAAGAGCAGCAACAGAGAAGGCCCTTTCCTATGTTCCCACCACATCTTGCCTGTGAAGGTGATGGGACCAAGAGAAAGACCTCCCCTGACTATCTTAACACCCAGCATGGAGATGTTGTCTTTCAGACAGTTTGGACGCAAGCCATTTAAGGACTTTATAGGTTAAAACCAGCACTTTGAATTGGTCTCAGAAACAGATCAGCAGCCAGTGGAGCCACTGTAATGGAAGGGTTGTTTTTAAAAGTTTCCCAGTCTGTGATGCATAATATAAAGTTATAGTAAATGAAATCTGTATACAGATTCAAACTGAATTTCTTCTGCTATATTCCTCACATTCTAACATGTGCAGTAGCACTCTCAAAGTCAATTTCAGTTCAATGTATGTGAATGAAAGGATAAGGTGATTTTCCCATTCCTTCCCTCTGTAACATCTTGTGCCACTAACTGAGCTTTTGCGGCAGATTGAGACCTTCTTGCATAGCATAGCATGGCATGGAGTGCATGTGACTTGAAGATTGCCCCAAATTAGATTGAGGTGCATGGCTCATTTTTTATTTGGCAGCAGTCGTAACAATGAGCACCTTTTCACAGAAACATTGCCACCAACTTAATTACAGTGTGTGATTATGTGTATATGTTCATCAGCTGTTCAAAAAGGACTTTTCCCCCCTCCCAGGGATACATAAGAGAAGCCATCACCAAGGGCCCGCTGACATATATTTGGATGACCTAACAGCTTTGGAACCTGAAGTTGCAGCTCTTTATTTTCCGAAAAGGTACTTTCTAATTGACAGGAGACCATACTGTATGCCCCAGTGAAATGTTCAGTTATATGTAGGTCTTCAGATGAATGAGTAGTTGATACTGGGCATTAGCTTTTGAATTTTGCATCATCTTGTGAATTGTAAAGAAAGTCAACACAGAAATATGTATGTATTTTTAATGTATCTCTCCTAATATAAAAAGCATGCTTTTAAACATTTTGGCCATGAATATTTTTGTAAATTGTTTACTCATATTTTATAGTTTTGTGCATTTCTTCACTAATAATATGCCCTGTACTGAATTGAATTAGTATACATACTCTTCACATATTTATTTTTGTGCTGATACTTGAAAAGAGTAAAGCCCAGAAGGTAAGTGTTCGGTTTCACATGTTAAGGTTAAGGTTTGATCATAATGCAAATGAACACATTTCTCTCCTATCCCTAATAAAAAACTTGTTTTTCTTGCTTTCAGTGACTCTGATCCAGGTTCCAGACAGTGGATAGAGTCTGATACCCTCTCTGGCTCTCAGTCTCCACAGTCAGTTGGAAGCGCAGCTGCAGATAGTGGTACGGAATGTATGTCTGATTCTGCAATGGACTTGCCTGATGTCACATTATCACTTTGTGGAGGTCTTAGTGAAAATGGAGAGATATTGAAAGGTATGCAGAAATGTCTTAAGTTTAATAAGATATAAACACCTGCATTTATATGGCTTTGAGAACACCAATTGCTGTGGAACAGTGCACTTTATCGAACTGTAAGATATGTATCATCATTTGTACTTGAAATTATTATTACTTTTTAAAAAAACAAACCTAAAGTTGGTGAAAATTCTGTTCTCTAAATTCAATTTGTATAAGAATGATGCCATCACTGGCAGGGGGAGAGTTTCCATAAACAGTTTCTGCTTATGTTCCATGGATTGTCTTATCCATCTGTAATCATCTTGCACATGAGCTGTGTAAACCTTAGGACAGAAGCAGGAACTCTTTAATTGTTGAAAATCTCCTTTTACATCATCTAGCAGATTGCTAATATTTAAAGAGTTCTTCTCTGCACCAGGGCTCCCATGGCTTGCACACAATGAGACTCATTACTGACTGACTAAATCAGCCATGGGACGGCAGCATGCATTTTTTAATCACTGAAAAATAGCCCCTTGCCAGTGATGTCACCACCCTTATGCAGGTATAATTTGCAGAACAAGGTTTTGCTCATCAAATAATTAAGTAATTTAATGATGTAGTTGTCAGTTATAGCTAGTAAATGTTTATAAAAGATAGTGAAGCCATTTAGAAACTTAATAGTCCAAAGTGCAATTTCAACTTTCATTGCAACAGAACTACCCTGAGGGATTATCTTCCAGAGTCTCTCAACTGAGTTGTCTACAAAGTGGAACACTTTTCTTAAGGCATAATAGTCTGCTGCTGTTACTGGAATGACAGTTTTTTCAATAACACAAACTTTTTTCCCTACTGTGATTATTTCATAAATAAAATAGTGTTACAGAGTCCAAAAAACCAGACATTTCTTGAGACTTCTTTCAGCCTTTTTGTATATTAAGATTTGACATAAGTGTGCAAAAGAGTTCTAATAAAGTATTTATTTATGTATATATTTATTAAATTTGTATACCACTCCATTAGTGCAGATGCATTACTCTGGGTGGTTTACAGTCAACAACAATATGTATAAATAAAAATAAAACAAAATAACAACACTTCAAGAGGGGGAAATATCAAAATAAAATGTTACACGGGGCATGTAAACATATAGAGCAGCAAGGGATTTGTGGTCAGTTTGCCACAGGGATGCCCGAAAATAAGACCTAACCTGACAATAAGCCCTAGTATGATTTTTCAGGATGCTCGTAATATAAGTCCTACCCCCAGAATAAGCCCTAGTTAAGTGAAATCCCGCCCTCCACCATTGTGCATCAACCAGAAGAAGATGACATGACTGTAAAATAAAACATCCCAAGAAAATAAGCCCTAATGCATTTTTGGAGCAAAGATTAATACAAGACCCTGTTTTATTTTCGGAGAAACACGGTAGTATAATTAAAGTAAGGCACTATTTGCAGAAGAGAACAAAAACATCTTAAGTTATGTGAATTAATAAAATAATCTTTCATTGCAGAAAAGTTCTTGGAACATATCATTACTTACCATGAATTTGCTGAGAACCCAGGACTTATAGACAACCCTAATCTTGTAATAAGGATATACAACAGGTAATACTCCTTGAAAGCTGGCTGGATAGCTTTAATGGGTTGGAGTGACTGGCCACAGAGCCAGGGATTGGGAGTTCCATTCCCCATTGTGCCTCCCGGAAGAGAAGCCAAGCAGTATAGCCTTGGGCAGGCTGCATGGTCTCAGAGTGCCTTTGGAAGGAGGGCTGAACTACTTTAGATTATTTTATACCTAAAAAAACCCTGGGAAGTGTTGTCATAAATCAAAGTTGACTGGGTGGCATGTAATTAAGTATTAATATTCCTTGAATCTTTTGTTAGTTCTGCTACATTATTTTTTAATTATTTTGATTCGTTGATATATTTTCTGGCTGCCATTCTTTGGCTTCCTTGTCCCTCTGAAAAACAATGTAACATTAAAATCCTACCTTATTTCATAATTCTTTCTTGTTAGTAGAGAGTGTAAAAAGTTCTGCTGTACAGTCATAGCAGATTAAATTAAAGCTGCCAAAGGAATGAGAACAACCCAAACAAATGACAATCCTTTAGTTTACAATAAAGAATCTGTATGTTGTTTTACTTCTTTTGAGTATATAGTTTATATTTCCCTAACAAGAAACTGTCTTCTATGTAATAGGTATTATAATTGGGCATTGGCAGCTCCTATGATTCTCAGCTTGCAGGTGTTCCAGAAGAGCTTGCCACAGGTAATATAATATATATTCAAAAATACAGGAAACTAGGCTATCACTTTTGATGAATCAAAGAAGTGGGAGTGGCAGCAGCATTGTCCTCTCCTCACATCCAAGTCCTAGGGGAAGCAAGAGCTGACATAATCAGGGCATATGTACAAAGTGAGATCATGCCTCACAATATGTATTTGATATGCCTTTATGAGGGTAGAATCACCAACTAGGCAAAAGGCAAGTTGTGATACACTGATATCTCAGTTGACATGACTGTACTACATGTACATAACAAGTCAGATCTATCGGGTACCACATGCATTCCTCTGAAAATTCCTGGTTATCCCATTCTTTTTCCATATGCCTAATTGATGCATGAGATGGAGAAATAAGGGGGTGTGAGGTCACAACAGAGAAGGGGACCCCATGACTTAAATAAAGTTGCATTGATATATATGAAGGGGCAGAGCATGTGCAGATAATTGCACTCCTTCCTGTACATTATGTGAAGACTTAAACATGTTAAAATTTCAACATGATGAGTGGAAGTGCCAGAATTGTATGTACATGATGCCCTCAGAGCTTGGAACATTCATCTCTGAAAATTCATTAGTTAATGTCAGAGGTTAAAATTTTTGGCATTAACTTGCTGTTATTAAATTTAAATTAGCATTATTAATATATTAAACATTAACTTGGTGTGCTTTATACAGAAACCATATGTTAATCAATATTCTCTTATTTCCAAATGGAAAATTACGTATATGTTTCCTTTTAAAACTAGACCTATAGAAAGTAGGCCAAGTTTGGCCATATAAATGTATTTGGCCCAGAACTCCTAGAAGATATTTTAAGAATTCATATAGTTCTCAAATCTTTTAGATGTTATTCCAAAACCATCAGGAGCTCAAAAATTGGGAACCATTGCTCTATAAAGAGCCAAATAACTATTTGTAGATACATTTCTTTAGCACAACATTGATAGAAGTCTAGGCTGAAAGTAGAAACTTGTCATGAACTTGCCTTGAAGCTACCTTCCAAGACAGCTAATGAGATCACAGCAACAAGTTCCTGTTGCATCCAAATCAGTTCAACTCAACTGTCCAGCTATAGGAGAAAAAGAAAAAAACCTAGCTGCTACCTTCCATGCATATATTTGAAAAATAATGTTATTTTGAGCTAAACTACAAAACAACAGACTGGGATGATCTGCCTAACATGTGGAAAGGGCCGAGGTAAATATAAATGATTTTCTCTTGGATGAAGAAGAATGTTGAATGTGTGACTTGTAAAATACAGTGGTGCCTCGCTTAGCGATGTTAATTGGTTCCAAAAAAACATCGCTAAGCGAAACACCATTTCCCATAGGAATGCATTGAAAACCAGATAATCCGTTCCAGTGGGAACGGATTACCGTCCTTAAGCGAAAATCGCCATAGGAAACATCGCTAAGCGAAACGCAGTTCCCCCATTGGAATGCATTGAATAGGTTTCAATGCATTTCAGTGGTTTTGACAGGTCCACTTTCGCTATTTTAAAGTGTCTTAAAATGTTCAAAAACTGTTTAAAATGCTTGGAATCGTTAGTGCACCCTGTAAAACCTTTGCAAACTTAATTTGGCTTTGTTCTGAGTCTTCATTAATTTTTGATGAATTTTTTCTCCCCCCATTGAAATGCATTGAACTGTAGGTTTGACAGCTGTCAATGCATTCCAGCGGGGAGGGGGGAAATTCACCAAAAATTAACGAAGACTCAAAACAAAGCCAAATTAAGTTTGCAAAGGTTTTACAGGGTGCACTAATGATTCCAAGCATTTTAAACAGTTTTTGAACATTTTAAGACACTTTAAAAATAGCGAAAACGGACATCGCTAAGCGAAACAGGGGGCCCCGAACTGTCATCGCTATGCGAGGCATGGTCCCAAACATCGCTATGCGAAATTCCCCCATTGGAAACATCGCTAAACGGAGCGCAAGATCGCTCCTAAAACCTCATCGCTAAGCGAATACATCGTTAAACGAAGCAATCGCTAAGCGAGGCACCACTGTACTGGATTCTTAAAGCCTTTTCTGACATGAGTTTTTTAAAAAAGGAATTTAATTTTCATATGTTAACTGTATATGTACACTAAATTATAATTTGTTCAGGCCACAGTTGAGTCCTGGATAAAAGACAAGATGCCAAAAAAGTCTGGGGGATGGTGGTTTTGGCGTAAAAAGGACAGCTTGATCAAACAGGTAAAGTGAATTCACCAGCTGACAATGCTGGGCCATTCTAAATAACAATGTATTAATCCAGGAACAAATGCAGTGCTCTTATTTCATTGCAGATGCCTTTATTTCCAAAGGTAAATTTAGTTTTACTAACTAGAATCTTAACCTGTAGTTCATTCCAGTCTTAAATGCATAGTTAGCAAAATGCTTTTAAAATTGAGTTCCCTGCTTTAGATGTAATAAGGAAAGGGCTGTGGTGTAAAGAAATCAAAACTGGTATATATATGTTATACTCCTGTCCTTCCTGGAACATGGTTCAGGAATACAGGTATGACACACTGAGGCCATATATTCCTCTTACAGTATGCTGGTTATATATATAACCAGCATACTGTAAGAGGAATATATGGCCTCAGTGTGTCATACCTATATTCCTGAACCATGTTCCAGGAAGGACAGGAGTATAACATCTGCAAAGGTTCACTAATTTACATTTCTGAATGGTAATTTTCTCCTTGCTTATCAGATTTTTGGAAATTACTTCTCAATTTTAATTCATTCAACTTAGTTTAAATATAACATTGCATGTCTTGTATCAATCTTTTTCTGGGAACTACTGGAAAAATGGAGAAGATTCCATTTCTTCCTGCTTGGTACTGCTCTGAGTGCCCCCCCCAACCCTGAATCAAGTTGCCTTATTGCTTTGTAATGCCCGACCCACCCTTGCTGCTATGGCAGAACTACAACAGTGCATCTTAATATTTTAAACTATTTGATAACTTTTTAAATATAGCGACTAGATAAAATGGCTTACATGCATGTAATCATGATCCAGTAATTGCTTCCATCAGCAGGACCAGTGGGGATTGCATCACCCTTCTCCTTGCAGCCCTTTCCTATGCCACCCTCAAAATCTGATTGGAGGGCTTGGAAACACTCTGAAGCAGCTTTTTTGGTAGTGCAGAAGATCAGAGGGGGAAAGCTCCACTGGTTATATGCTATGCAACATTAGAGTTAATTACATTCACAGTTTTAATGTAGATTGTTAGGACTGGGATGTAAGAGAAACATTTTGATTTTGTTGTTGAAGAGTTATATCTGTGCTTTCAATTAGTAATGCAGATTTGGACTAGATATTTCAAAGACAGAGATTGGTCAGAATCTTATTAGTTATGCCTATTGGCATAACACAATCGGTGTAAATCTCACTGGCAAATTTCTGCATGTTATGAAGTTTGTGTAGGCATTTGCCATTGTGTTCCCAGTTGCATAACTCAGCATTCAACAGTAAATGCCCATGCTATTTTCTTAACTTGTGTCAATTAACCAGTGAACACAATTGCATTATGTAAGCTTAAAAAGGCAATAAGATTTTTTTTCTGTTGATTTTGTTAGTGGCCTGGGACAGCTGATAAAGCAGCTAATGATCTGTGGTTGTGAAAACATCTTTCAGCTCTTCACAACCCCAAGTGCTGCAACTACTATTTCTGAAGAACCTTTTTGCAATTAGACTGGCATATGAATCAGAAATATTGCAAATGGTTTTTTTAGGTTGCCATGCATCGTGTCCTTTGTTGATGTGGTCTTAATGTACTTTTCGTGTGCTAGCTTCCAGAAACAAAAGAGGGAAAATCTGAGGCTCCAAAAAATGACCTGTCAACAAGTACGAAGGATCAAGTTGACAGTCGGTATGTTTGCTTTAAATGAGTTTAGTGTCAATTATTGATGTTTGAAGAAGAGAACAGGAATTAACTACTGAATTGTTTAAGCTAAGTTCTTGTGTCTCTGGTAGGCCACCTGATTTCCATGCAGAATCACAGAGGTTCAATCCCCAGGAAGGGGCTTAATCACGTGCCCTGCTGTCCTTCAGGTTTGAGACAAATACATCAGTTAGCTTCTCACCCACCAGGTTCAGTCCCTTTTATTTCCAGGTAGGAACTTTGCAACCAAAGATTTTAGGGCAACCATTCTTAACCTTTTCTTTACCATGGATCCCCTTTAAACATCTTTTGATGCCATGTATCACCAAATACTTAACTCAAGATTTAAAACCCTGAACTGGATCAAATATTAATTTATAGTTTCTCATGATGGTATGATTTCCTTAATCCATCCTACAATTCCAGTAAGCTTTCCAGACATTGCCTGTGGGTGCTAATTCCAATGCATTTCAAGTAGTCCATGTCACAAGATGTTCTAAACTTAAGTCTGAAATACGTCTTCAGCTGTAGTGTGTACCAATGAGGAAATGAACAGTATATCTTTGAAAATATTTATCTTATGTTCGTATCTAACATAGCACAATAAAGTCGCTTTGTTATGTCTATGCTTTCATCCAGTTGCAGTGCAAAGTAGAGGGGCATGTGTATTCTTTCTAATAATTGCTCCTTGATATTGGCTGACAAACTGTTGATTTGCTTCTTAACTGTGCCATTTGACAAAGGCATTAAGGAAAGGTCCTTGCAGCTTTCTCATTGACCAGTGCAGAAATCATGATTTTTGCAGTAGGTAATGTAAGTTCTTCAGATAAGCCAAAATTTAAACAAACAAGCAAAGGAAATTAAGATTTTGTTCTGCATTTCTTTTTCTTTCTTGCTTGCTTTCATTCATTCATTCTAGTTTAACTGCAAAAATAGATTCTTAACCTGTGGTCCTCAGACCACAGGTTAGGAATCTACATTTTAGGGGATTCCACTCTCATAGGTTGGCAAGAAACTGATATGCCATATTATGGGAGGGAAAGCTCTCAAGCTAGCAGGAGGCAGAGCAGCCATCTCATCTCTCTGTCCTTCTTGTGTGGCTTATTTGTTTAGCAAGAAGAAATGCGAAAAGCCTCATGGTTGCCTCTCCATTGGAACTTGCCTTCTCATGCACCTTTGTGAGTCACAGGCAGTCCTCATGACTCTCACATTGAGAAGTAGGGTGCTTTTCTTCCTGCTTGTTGATAAGCAGCCTGGGAAAAGCAGAGAAGTGAGAGGGCTCCTCTACCTCCTATTGGTTTCAGAGTCTTCACTACCATAATTTGGCCTGGGGGTTCTCATGAAAGGCTCATCCTTGTATAGAACTCAAAGAGTGTTGTTCCCAGTCAATATGGACAGCATAGAGTGACATAAGTAAAAGTAAAGGTTCCCCTTGACATTCTTAGTCCAGTCGTGTCCAACTCTAGGGGGCGGTGCTCATCCCATTTTCAAGCCGTAGAGCCGGTGCTTGTCCGAAGTCAGTTTCCATTGTCACGTGGCCAGCATGACTAGGGAACGCCGTTTTACTTTCCCACCAAAGTGGTACCTATTTATCTACTTGCATTTGCATGCTTTCGAACTGCTAGGTTGGCGAGGAGCTGGGACAAAGCAACAGGAGCTCACTCCATCACATGAATTCGTTCTTACGACTGCTGGTCTTCTGACCCTGCAGTACAGAGGCTTCTGTGGTTTAGCCCGCAGCGCCACCACGTTACTCTATAGAGTGACATACACCAGTATAAAGCAGACTTGTGTGACAGTTCATCATAATAAATGCGGAGACTTGACTAGTACTTAGGGGTGAGAGATACGTAGAACATTTGGCACTGTAAATATCCCATATGTTCTTTTTTGTTATTTCACAAAGTCCTAAAACTGAAAAGAAATAAAAACGGAATTCAGTGAAATCTTTTTAACTTCAAACAAGTAGTGGTTAAAACCTTACATGCTCACTTTGCCAAAAGCTTAAATTACCCAGAAGTATGTTTCTTAATCTTCATAATGAAGACTACACTGGCCAGAATCCCTTTCACTTATGCTAACACAGGGGAAATGATATCACCTACAGAGGCAGATCACCACTAATTAGAGTCTATACAGTGATTCATCATGTGATCCAACAGTATGTACACATTGGGTGACTGCATGAACAAACCAGAATTCATGTTGGGACTCCTTAATTAGCAGCAACCACGTTCCCTGCTTCGATTCTAGGTCTTGTGCAGAACCACAAGATTTGTGCACAATGAGGGATCACATGGGGAATTAGCAGTGACCTGGTGCTGAAGACAGTTGCCATTTTTCCTACATCACCTGAAGGTATGGAAGACTATTTTGGCCAGTATTGGTGCTTCAGAGTGACAGGCTATACTTCTGGTCCATTACACTCAATAGTATGCCAGTGATGGTACTTAAATTGTAGTATCAGGTATGTGTTCTCTAACAAAGGAATACGGGATGTAAATGGAGAAGAAACACAAATGACTTAAACCATTAAGTTTAGAGCCATACTTTTAAGAATTTCCCCCCCAAAGGAAATGTCAGTTGCATATGCAGCTTGATCCATTAGTGTCTTAATGGCTTCTCTGATCCATAAGCTTTCCATTTTTCTCTAATCCTAGGCACAGCAAATGCTTGTCCTTCTTGAAATGTTTTATTTAGATACAGTTTTGCAAGTTGTATATTTCCAAGGACCTCTTTAATCATCTCTGAAATATCTCATGCATTTTACTGTTATGTTTGTGTTATGCTATGCTAGGCCTGCAAATGATTATTCTTCCAGTGATGATGAAGGATCACAAGAACTGAAAGAATCTTTAGAAACAAATTCTGCTTCACTTGAACATCCAAGCCATGGAAATGCTACCTCTTATAAAAAGTCACTTCGGTTGTCTTCAGAGCAAATTGTAAGTGATACTGTGTTCTTATAACTGTCCTCACAGTTTTAAGTATTTAGGCATCTAATTGAACAAAATTTTCCTACAGTGCTTGACTCTGTGGCTATGCAGCTTTCCTATTTGTGGCATATCAAAGGTGTGACTTAATTTGGTGACTAACATCTTTTAGAATGATTAAAATTTAACTTACCATCTTGTGAAGAGTGAAATAAAAACAAATTTAAAAATAATATCAGAAGACTTGTAATATGTCTAGCAGAATGACCTGCCTGGCCTGCAACTTCAGAGCAGGAATGGTCAACCTATCAGCATTTGCAACCCTCTCTTCTCAATTTTCAAGTCTCTAGACATACAGAGGGACCAAAATGTGTCTGGTAAAAAAAGACACCTCCAGGGGTGGTGATTTTCCTTTAAAATGAGGTGCAAAGCCTACCCCCTCCATTTTTTTTATTTTTATTTTTTAACAAAATTGGGAAGTGGGCTTTTAGCCATTCTCAGTTTTAGTGGGGAGCCCTCTGTGGCATATCAGAGGGGGATTGGCCTCTGCTGCTCTCCCCACAAATTGTCCACACTGACTAAAATAAGGCTTTCATACATATTTTAAAATCCTTTATTTAATTCCTGTATTGTTGGAGAGTGACTTGTGTGTTGCTACTTCCAAAAAGAATAGTTGACATAGAGGTCCCAAAATCCTTAGGAGCTGGTGACTTTGCTTGCCCTGACTAGTTTTCTGCAGTTTTGCAGTCATAGATGCCATTCACGAAATCTCAGAACTTAAAAGGCTTTAAAGAAGTGGAGATTTTCACTGCAGCAGAGGTTTAGGAACAATATCTCAATTGGTTAATCCTGGATTTGATTGAAATAACCATATTAATTTTTACTTGCATGCAAGTCCCATTGTCAGGCCGACGTCCCAGTCTTATGATTGCTGCTCTTTTAGTGAGATGGCTGTGGTTCTGCTTTTTAGCCTGATGCTAAATTGCGGTGATTTATTTATTCTAAGAGAAAATAAGTACTAGCACAGTATTCTAAGTTGTTATATTGTGCTGAGATGTAATGTCTGTATTTCTGTGTTCCCTTTTACCTTAACTTGGATTGGTATATTTTTTCTGTTAAAAGCTTGGGAAAGGTATTATATACTGGCTGCCATCCTGTTCTACTTGGCATACTATAAAGTTAAGCTTGAGGAAATTTGCAAGGAGTTATGCCCAGGCAGTCCACATAATGTGCCAGGTTATGTAGTTTATTATGTAACTAGTTGTGTGGCTCTGCCTGCAAAACTGCTTGTAGATATGACTTCCACATTTGTGTGGATTCTGAAGTTGTTTGCAGAATTTCAAGTTATGCAGCTGTAGGTACGCAACAGGATTTTGGCCATTATCTTCAGTTTTAAAATGTAAATTAGATTGGAAGGGAAATAACAGTTTCCTTTTGGTTAATAAGCTTATACTTCTTTATTATAAAGGAAAAATTGAAGCTTAAAGATGGACCAAATGATGTTGTGTTCAGCATTACAACTCAGTATCAAGGAACTTGCCGCTGTGCAGGAACAATATATCTGTGGAACTGGAATGACAAAATAGTTATTTCTGATATTGATGGAACCATAACCAAGTAAGCTGTAGAATGATACGTCTTAATAAATCAAAACCTGTTGTATTAAACCATTTCTACCCCAGAGATCCCACTTTCATACTTTATATACTAAAGATTAATATTTTTCTTTAAATCTTGCAATATACACCTGTCTTTTGTTTCAGTCTTTGTAGTTGTTTAGCTTTTATTGTAAAGGAAACCAATGTTTATTTTCTTAAACATTTGTGGTTGGTAAGCTTTGAATTGCTCTGGGCTATGGAGATTTCATTCACTACTTTCATTTTTTTCTCTTCTTTCCTCCAGTCAATGTAGGACAGTATATACGGCTGTCTTCCTCCTCATTATAGAACCTAGTGCTGGTTATTTTGATATTTGATCTGATGAATGTGTTTTTATCCTTTCTTCTATATCTAATCCTTGTACTTTGTTTAGGTCTGATGCTTTAGGACAGATTTTACCACAGCTTGGCAAAGATTGGACACATCAAGGCATTGCAAAACTCTACCATTCTATTAATGAGTGAGTATCTTGCCTATAAAATAGTTGTAGAAGAGGGGCATAACTGATTATGTTAATTTGGATGACAATTGATAAAATAAAGTTTGACATTACTTCTTTATGTGTCAGCTGGAGAAAGATGCATTTTAGAATCTTGTATTCTAGTATGGAACAGTATTACTACTATGTTTTCAAGTTATATTTCAGTTGAGAGCAAAATAGGAACTAAAGTACAAAGAATTATACATACAACATGTGGAAGTGTTCTGCTGTAGGTCTTAGACTGTTATGATAACAATACAGTGTAACCCTGCCAATGATGTATATATAAGGTTTCTAATGAACAAGTAAGAGAAGGAAATTTCAGTCAGAGGACTTCAAAGAAAAAATTTTGGTTTCCTCTTTCTCCTTCTGCCCGCTGAGGGGAAAGGTAGGTATGTATAAAAGTGATTTTGGTAGATGTTTGAAAGCTTCCTGCTTATTATTGTTTTGGCTGGAGAGGAGGAACACCATTGACTATCTTCAAAGCAGCTGCTGTTGTGATTGCCTGCACATTTTCTTGAATGTTGTGTCTTCCCATTGTTTACACCCTCTTGGTGCTACCATGCTTCAGCGTTGGAGGTAGTCTAAGCTTGCCCTGTACAGTGGTGCCTCGCTTAACGGGTGCCTCATTTAACGACTACTCCCCATACCGATGAAGATTTTGCGATCGCAAAAGCGATCGCATAATGTTTTCAATGGGGAAAAATCGCTTTGCGATTTTTCCCCATACACCCCATTTTCGCGCATCTGATCGGCGG